ATAGTTATCATTTTGGAATGGATTTAGTTAGCTATGACTTCAATAAAGTTTGACAGTGCATATATAAGCTGGCTATTTTATTACTTGATTAATGCATTACATATGATACTTATTTAGGAGATAGGTACTGTCCAGATGGAACGCCTTCACCACATGGACGTGCCGAAGCAGCACTTCAAGCGGAATCACGGAGTACGCATACACTCCAGTCATCCACTTGAGGTGAGTGCATCCAGGTGCAGCATCCTCCCCGCACGCATTCCAATATCTAATGTAAGCCAGCTCCTCCCTCTCTCCACGGATTTCTGTGTGGAACACCAGCAGCAACCTTGTATACCACTCCTCTCTCCGACCGTACCTTACACCCTCTACTGCAACATCCGAGTACCACGGCCGCTCAAAATAGTCAGGCGTCGCCCGAACGAAGTGAGAAACTCTTGAGAAGCTGGCATCATCTGCCACTGGGATGGCCAACGATGCATGGGCCTGCATAAGAGTGGCAGTTTGTAAGCAATTGGAATAGGGGCAGGAAAAAATGGTTGTATGATCCACGAAGTACTTACTCTGATCTTGGGGACGCATCCAGCATAACATACTAGCGCATCCTTGAGGGCAGCTTGTGCAACTGGGTGTTGCTTGGCCCACTTCCTTGCAAACCAGTTGGTGGAGGTGGGTTCTTCTGGTAACTCCACAGGGAGAAAGTAGGACTCTTTGATAAGAGTTCGTGTGCCTGTCTCAATGGCCTGCCAACAAACAGTAGCAATTTTATTACATTATGCATGCATAGCATTGCAATTCAATCACTAGACAGGTTTACCTGCCGCATGGCAGTGTCCCGGCCAGCGGGATCGTCCACCGGCACAACGTCCGGAATGCGCCTAGCATGGAACTTCATAATCTGACCATCTACATTGCGCTTGTTGGACCGCCGGCAGATCCTCTTTACCAACGGTCCGTGCAAGTGCTCGAACATGTTGGTGCTGAATTCGGTGACATGACCCGCCCGGCGAATGGAGTCAATGTAGTGCGACATGAGATGGGTTTTCACAAGGCACCAGGAGGATGGCTGCTTTGGAAAAGCAGCCTGCAACTGCTCAACCAGCCTGATGGGAGTGGGAGTTGACAGCATATGCAAGGACATCAGAGTCTACTAAAACATACTGCAGCCTACTTTATTTGATATACTATCATGGTTTATCAGCAACATCCTGTGAAGATAGGTTACTGCAACAGCTTAGGTGCCGTGGCTAGGCATTCATGCAATGCCCAGGGTTGTACATGCATGTTAATAGTACTGGGAGGTCTTCTTCTTGAGATCCCGCAGGGACCGCTCGGTGTGCCCCGTTGGCTGGCAACACAAGAGGTACCAGCCAAGATAGGCACGAACAGCATCCATCTGGGGCTGGCGAAGCAGGCCAGCAAAGACAAACACCATGACCTGAAAATTTTAGGGTTTATCACAGCAGGGGGGCATGAGTAGTTGGGACATGCGTGAGAAGATGAGCAAACAGTATTCGAGGCGGAATTAATGAAAGCAGGAGAGAGGGTACTGAGATGCAGCAGGGGGTGTGTTGTAGTCTGGAATCGGCATGCCAGTACTGCATGGTGCATGCTATCGCACAAGATGATCACATGCACCATGGCTTGCACACCTGCATGACGGCCCTGTGCTCATAGGCCGCGACACATGCTCCAGTCTCGAAGTAGGCGCTCTCTGGTAGGCGCAGGTGGTTCAGGCACATGCGGTCGCGAATGAGCGACAGGCGCCTGCGCATACACAACAGTTCAAAGGCAGGCACAAATACAGAAACATGTAAGTAGGAGGAGGAGAGTGCGGATTGGAGTGTTGTTGACAACGAGCAACAAATCTAATCCCCCAAGGCACTGACCTGTCCATCTGCTTCACGCGCCGCTTCTTCATCTTGTGCACGACAGCCACAATGTCCGCCTGGTGCATGATGTCAGGCATGATAACGAGGTAGGGATTGCCCCACACAGTCCCTGGGACATCCCACTTCCAGAGCACACACTGGAAAAGGGGATGTGGTGGGGAATGGTAGAGAAAGGTATTTGAGAGACTCGGCACACAACATGTGGGACAGTGCAATGGGGTATAGCACATCTCCCCAAGGTTTGAGCAACACGGAGTGCGTAGACTACACAGTCGCCCGGGGAACAGGTCGCTCACCTCAACCGGGTAGGTTGAGTAGGTCTTGCATGGGTCGTCCTGGCTTAATGTCAACCCTGCCGCCTCATTCACGATCCATTGCTGCTGTTCAGGCGTGCGCGGCGTGTTCCGTGCCTTTACAGCAACCAGATGCTCCTGGTGTAGCACAGGGGGTGGGATGGGATGAACAGGTAAGGGAGGTGAGATTATGAGGTCCGTCATGTGACATTCGGATGGCGATGGTTCTGAAGGCACGCACATCGCATGTTTGCTCACCTTTGCAGCATAGCAGATGCTGCACGGCATCCGGGATCCATGCGAGAGTGTGCAACTGATCTTGCCGCTCTCAGGGTAGTCGCACACCCAGGCGTATAGCAGGGGCCGCACGGTTTGCCAATCACCGAAAGGGTCCTTGAGACGGAACCCGCTGCAAGGAATAGGTATTGTGGCAACAGGATCAGGGATTTCGGCTTTGTGCATCGGCGAAGAGGGACAAGGGGGACTGTTACATACCGAAACGCTGCGCATACTATGACGTTGATTGGGTGACGACATAGCAAGACGGAAATAGAGTACGGACCTTTCCATGCCATCGAGAAGCGGCTGCAGCATGGTGATGACGCATCGCTGGAAGAGCATCACCTTCTCCACGGCAGACATTGCAGAAGGGGGGATAGGAAGGAGAGCAAGTAGCGTGTGCCCGGCTTTCCCCCATCGCTTGGCCTGGGAGATGTTTGCAAGCGTCATCATTAGCGGCCACGCCTTCTTCCGGCCTTTGTTGCTCATGTGCGTCACATCCGAGTATAGGATGATACCCCCCACGACTTCGGACCATCCAAAGTGTTCCTGCAAAGCACGACAAAGAGGGAAAAGGCACACGGTCAAACACCAACAAGGCAACATGTCGCCAGGCGGACTAAGCATGCTTCAAAGAACTCCCCACAAACATGACACACTGAAGATGCTCTCTACACATCAGTGCATCAACAGAGGCATGCGCACTCTTCTGGTTTTAGGTGGCAACGGGGTATTTCCATACCTGAGCATCGTTCCACCACGTTCCAGTTTCTGGCGTGGTATAGCGACGCTCCCCTGTGTCAGGATCCTCATCGATACGAGCCTTGAGCTTGAAGCCGGACGCGTTGTTGGTATGCCCAAACAGTTCGGCAAACGCCTGGCGTACAGTGGCAAGAGCAGGAGAGAACCAAACCCTGGTTAGTGGCGTTGAAGGTGGGGCAGATCTCACACAAGCCTAACAGAGGCAACGTTCAACAAGCACCAAATGGATGCGGAATCTGCATTTCACAGCCACGGATTTAGATTCAACTTACCTGCGCAGAGTTCTGGAAGAGAAGGCGCTGTGGCGGATGACCGTCAATCTCGAAGGTCGCCACTGACCATCCGCGATTGAGCCCGACCAAGCGCTCCATCTCGAACCGCTCCAAATCCTTGCTGTTCCGGATCTCTGAGATCACAAGAGGCGCAAGGCCGGGCTCCACCACGAGCTGAAGCAGGCCATTGATGTCGATCTCCGCCATTCCTATTCCGCCATTTACGCGCCGCACGAAATGCAGCAGCTTCAACGCAAGCGGATTGAGGGGCGTGGCATTGCTCTGCCCAGAGATGCATGTCGGCGGTGCGGCGTGACTCTCTTCACGGCGGCTCTCCGGATGTTCACTCGTGTCAGAGGCATGTGTTCCGGGAGGCGGTTGATGCTCACTTTCAGGAGCCCCCATGTTCACAGCCGAGGGTGTTGCGTCCCCGTCAGCTTCGGGCACGCGAGGAGGACCATTCACACCGTCGGTGTTGGACGCGTTAGACGCGGTAGGGGAAGCAGGTGCAGCGGGAGCGTCTGATAGAATGTCGTGGACGAACAGCAGAGCGTGTAGACCGGCGGACGGTGCAGACGAGGAGGGCCTTGCCACGGCGGAAAGCCCTTGACAAGGGGTCCGCCGTGACTTATGGCCGCCATAAACCTAGGCGTTGGGGAACCATCTGTTGCAGAACTCGCATACTACGCCTGGCAAAGAGCCCATGTATTCTAGATCTGTATAAGAGTGGTGGAATGTAGAGTGAGGAGACTAGCCAGTTTGAAGCTTGTAAACGCTTTTACTTCACGGTCAATGAAGGCTCAGACTCCAGCACAGTCATCGCCACAGCGCGAAGTGTCCACGGCGGCTTGGATCTCTGCACGCCTGGCACTTGATCGTGGCGCATTAGTGAGAGACTGGCTAACAATGGTCGCGCAGCGCGGCCGTGACAAGCCTAGATACAGACCGCCGACAGCACGACATAGGCCTTCTCTACAAGGCGTGTCGCCCCCTGTTAGAGTGATTACGACGTGAGCAGGGCCTTATGCAGTGGTGTACGGCTAGCTTGGTCGCAAGCGTGCGTGACGAGCACGGTGAGGAGTACGTGCCTCCATATTCAAAACTTTGGTTTTTGAATCGTGTGTGAGAGTCGAGGTGGAAGAGGAAGAGAGGGAAGAGATCTGTTTGGTGTTGTGATTCTTTCAAGAGTCTCTATAGGGGAGAGATCGCGATCACGTAGGTGTGCCCAAAGTGGTGCGCACCCCCATAGCCTTAATCCAAACCAGGTAATACCATTGTACAGTTACATATAACAAATTACTTAATGTCACTCATAACGATTATACGACCATACTTTACGGCATGCTCAATACCTTCCGGCATATTGACAACGGCACTGCTTAGAAACAGCACCGTTAGTGTGGTCTGCTACCATTTGGGAAGCAACACCATTCCACAACCGTTTCACCATGTCACGTAAGCCACGGGCCTGAACGCTGCAACGTCGCCGCGTCGGAACAGCGATGTCGAGAACGCATCTACGCTTGTGCGTTGGGCCTGTGCTTCATACCACTCCTTCTGGGCGCCTTGTTTAATGTCTGTGCAAGAATGGATGACAATCCAACGCCAAACCACAACGGATTCACCATGTCGCGCAACACACAGGCCAGAACGCGGCATCGTCGCACTGTATAAACACTGCTGTCGAGAACGCATCTACGCTTGTGCGTTGGGCCTGTGCTTCATACCACTCCCTCTAAGCACCTTGTTGAATGTCCGTGCAAGAATGGATGACGATCCATCACCATACGCAAACGGATTCACCATGTCGCGCAACCCCAGCAGGCCTGAACGCTGCATCGTCGCACAGTCTAAACATGGCTGTCGATAACGCATCACCGCTGGTGCGTAGGGCCTGTGCTTCACACCACTCCCTCTAAGCACCTTGTTGAATGTCCGTGCAAGAATGGATGACGATCCATCACCATACGCAAACGGATTCACCATGTCGCGCAACCCCAGCAGGCCTGAACGCTGTATTGTCGCACAGTCTAAACATGGCTGTCGATAACACATCACCGCTTGTGCGTAGGGCCTGTGCTTCATACCACTCCCTCTAAGCACCTTGTTGAATGTCCGTGCAAGAATGGATGACGATCCATCACCATACCACAAATTATTCTCGTTTACTATTGATCATCGTGTTAGAATGTCGTCCGCTATCGACAAACCGATGTGGCAAAGCCCTAAAGTGCGCAGTACATCTGTGTGACGCGAGAATCACCGATTAACTTACCCCAGCCCCATACTAAACCATTTGCAACTAAGTGTTTGATGAAATCTATTGTTGTATGTTTGAATTTGATTTAGCTGCTATGTGCAACACTATGCGTTCGCGACAACACTGTACTTTGCAGGGATTTTACTAATTTCGCACTTGGCGTTTCACAACCGTTGTACCCTTTGTAGTGATTGATGCGTTGGCAACCGTGATTGGCCGACGCATCTCAAACGAGTTGGCCCGCAACACAATCACGAGCCAAGAGGTACTTCAGCCAATGAGCGGCTGAGATCGAGCGGTAGGTGGGTTTATGCTAGGGTGGCTACACGTACACCGTCCGATATAGCCTGATAGGGTTACAGTAATCTCTCTAGTCTCGCAACCCACCCCAACCACCCTCGTGCCCCACCCACCTGCTTCTGTCACTCCCTGGTCCAACACTTTCATGCTGCTCGCTGTTTGACACACGCCTCTCCGTCGCGGCCATAGCTCTCTACTTAGTGGCTACTAGATCAGTTTTAGATGAAGCGGCGGTTTTCGGATACAGATAACAGTGATCGACCGTCGATAATCCCATCGTGGGATTCCGTTGCAGTACCCCTTCGAAACCGGCACAACCCTTCCGCGCGATGTGCTAATTTGCTTTCCTACAATGACCATGACTCGTGCAACACGTAACCAAGCAATGGTGGAGGAACAGGCCGGCCGCCACGCGACAAGGAGGACGTCTCAACAGATAGATAGGGAGAGCAGTGGCGGCGCTAAAAAAACTAATGCGTCCGTCGCGCCAGGCATTGGGCAGAAAAAAGCGGCGCCAAAAAAGGTCGAGCGTGGTCAAGAGGAGTCCGGCAAGAAAGCGGAAGACAAGGAGCCTAAACCAAAGCCACGCAAGCGTGTTTCTACAGTGCGCAAAGAAGCGGATGTTGCCTCTGCTGGAACCGAGCCCGGTCCGAGTAACGACGGCACCACTGGCGGCAACAAAGATACGGGGCGAGGGAGCGCGAGTCTTGCAGTCCCGTCGGCGGAGATAGAGGGATCGGCGACAGGGGGAAACCACGGAGGCGATCCCCGCGCCGAGCATGCCGTAACCAAGGAGTCCGAGGCGGCGGCATCGCAACACCATCTGACGCTGCTCCAGCCGACCGTGGTCGAAGATTCTGCAGCCGTGCTGGATAAGGACAAGGTGGGGGAGCACGAGTCGGAGGGGCAGGTCGGTGGCTCTCCGCCTTCTGGTGGACGGGGGAGGCGTAGGCAGAGGAGGAGCGATGGGGAGGACGATTATGACACCGCTGTGCCCGGGGACCTCACCACGCGGGCGAAGAGTCGGCAGACGACAGGCAGTGCTGACGACGCCGGAGGCGCGGAAGTTGGGACAACGCGAGGCGCCAAGGAAGCTAGTGGCAAGGCAGGCGGTCAAGCATTGCGCCAGAAGGGCCGACCCGCAGCAAGAAAAACATCCGGCGGAAGGAGAGGCAAGAAAGCAATGACGGGGACGAGGCAAAAACGGGGCGATGAACACCCTGGTGATGCGGAGGAGGAGGAAGATGAGGAGGAGGATGCGGAGGAAGAGGAGGATGAAGAGGATGCGGAGGAGGATGACGGGGATGTTGGGGAGGATGAAAAAGATGAGAATGATGGCGGGAAGGACGAAGAGGAGGGTGAGGATGAGGAGGAGGAGGAGGAGGAGGAGGAGGAAGAGGAGGAGGAGGAGGATGAGGAGGAGAAGGAGGAGGAGGAGGAGGAGGAGGAGGAGGAGGAGGAGGAGGAGGAGGAGGAGGAGGAGGAGGAGGAACAAGGTGACGACGAGGAGGATGAGGAGGAGGAGGAGGCAGCAGAGGAGGAGGAGGAGGAGGAGGAGGAGGAGGAGGAGGAGGAGGAGGAGGAGGAGGAGGAGGATGTGGCGCCAGTGAAGGGATGGGGCGGGCGTGGCAGACGGATGAGTGGTACAGGGAAGGTGGGGGGCCGGACTCGCCCTTCCCGAAAACGCGGGGCAATTAACGCCGCGCGCGGCGAAGCAGCGGGCAAATAGAAGGCGCGTAAGGTGAAGGTCGAAAGTGAAGGGGGTGGTAAAAAGCAAGGGAGCCAGGGAGCAAAAGGGGATGGAGGAGGAAAGGGTGGCTGCGGCAAAGGGGTTCCAGTGGGTACCGGCAAGAAAGAACCAGCCGGTAAACGTCGCAGCGTCTGCCAAAGCACCCCGCGGAAAGGTGGCAACGAGAAGGCGCAGGCTGCCCCAAAACCGAAGGGACAGCAGAAAGGTGAGCATTGTGGCCAATACAAGTGGCGTGGTTGTTGAACCATCTGGTCAACCGTGCCAAATAACACCATTTTTTCCCATTGTTTCTCCCCTGCAGGGAAGGAGAGGGTCGACGAATCTACCAAGCAAGGTAAACCCTCTTGTCTCAAACCAGTACAACCCTAAATCCGATTTAGATTCAAACCTTTGATGTTATGCATGCATGTCTGGCCCTGTATTGAAACCGATTGACTCTAATTTCTTTATCCTACTCCCTCTACATCTCAGCCCCTCCCGTTACAGGCATTGGGCCACCCGTAAGCGTGCAACGGATGCAGCTAACGAAGGCTGCCGGAAGAGCGAGTGTTACACCGCTAGCCACATGAGCACCAAGGTACTACACGCCATACACCGGCCCGAGCAAAGTCGCTGCGACGGCACCCGACACGCCAAGAGAAGAGGAATCCGAATCCCCTCCACCAGCCCCCGTCACGCAAACCCCACTCGCCTCACCCTCGTACCCATTTCGGTTGCTACACGCTTCTCCTGTCCGGGGCAGGGCGGTCTCCCCCCTCGCCGGTCCATCGCGTGGGCATCAGGCAGGCACTTATACCAATCCCTTCCCTGAGCTCCCCTTTTCCCGCCAGCGTGATAGTGTGAGGGCACATGGGACTGCTGCAGAAGATGCTGATTCCCTTGGCCAGATGGGGGATTCTTCACACCCTTTTCCTCCGCTCATGGGTGCCCTAGGTGAAAGTGCGGAGCACGAGCAGTTTGTTACACGGGAGGAGTTCCAGGCGCTGCGGTCTGAGATGTATGCCATGTTTGCACAGCTCGGCCTGCGTCGTGGAGTACCTACCAGCTATGCCGGCGGGTCAGCAGCCCTGCCTATGGCTGGTACCCCGCTGCCGATGAGCGCCGTGGACAAGGCACGAGTGCTAGTGTTGCAGGAGACAAACCCATTCCCGGTATGTGGCGGGCCAAATGGGGCGGGTTGGGGCTGACGTGGCAACCAGGGCAGGGTTGGGGCTGACGTGGCGGTTTCGAAGGCTCCATCTGAGCGGCGCGTGACGAGGTGACGCGTATCAGGTGGGTGGGGGGTGACGTGGCATGGGGTGGGTGGGTGTGACGTGGCAAGTGGCGCGGGTTGTTGGTGGACATGGCGGATGCAAGTGGGTGTGACGTGGCAAAAGGTGAGGGTTGAGATATGACGTGGCGGTGTGAAAGGGTGCAAGGGAGTGCCGCATGACGGGGCGAGGCGTTTCAGGTGGGTGGGGGGTGACGTGGCTCTTGGTGGGGGGTGTGATGTGGCAAGTTGGGCGGGCTGTTGGCGGATGCAAAAGGGTGTGACGTGGCACGAATGTGAGGGTTGGGGCAGACGTGGCGGGTTGGAATGGTATACGGGAGCGGCGCGTGACAAGGCGACGTGTGTCAGGTGGGTGGGGGGTGACGTGGCATGGGGTGGGAGGGTGTGACGTGGCACGGGGGGCTGGTTGTTGGTGGACGTGGCGGATGCAGGAGGGTGTGACGTGGCGGATGCAGGAGGGTGTGACGTGGCACGTGGGGCTGGTTGTTGGTGGACGTGGCGGATGCAGGAGGGTGTGACGTGGCACGTGGGGCTGTTTGGTGGACGTGGCGGATGCAGGAGGGTGTGATGTGGCGGAAGGTGAGGGTTGGGGATGACGTGGCGGATGCAGGTGGGTGTGACGTGGCGGAAGGTGAGTGTTGGGGATGATGTGGCTGTTTAAAAGGGTACACGTGTACGGCGCATGACGCAGCGAGGCGTTTCAGGTGGGTGGGGGGTGACGTGGCTCTTGGTGGGGGTGTGACGTGGCAAGTAGGGCGGGTTGTTGGCGGATGCAAAAGGCTGTGACGTGGCGGAATGTGAGGGCTGGGGCAGACATGGCGGTTTGGAATGGTACACGGGAGCGGCGCGTGACAAGGCGACGTGGGTCAGGTGGGTGGGTGGTGACGTGGCATGGGGTGGGAGGGTGTGACGTGGCACGGGGGGCTGGTTGTTGGTGGACGTGGCGGATGCAGGAGGGTGTGACGTGGAAATTTCACTCAGTCCATCCTGTGGTCACGCAGCCACAGTCATAACTGATGGTTTCTCTCTCTCCATGTCGTGTTATATACCCCACACCCCTGCGCAGAACAAAGCCTACTTAGTGTGCTCTCAGCTCCTGTTTTTGAACCCCCCGGAGAAAATCCAGTACTACCCTGCACCGGAGGAAGTGTTCGAGGCGTTCGCTGTCCACTTGTCTCACCCAACCACTTGATTTCTCTGCACCCCCTTTCCAACCCGTACGCTCCCCCCAAAATGCAGAACAGTGGGCCCTCAACTGGCACTTTGACAAGGCCACCGGAACGCCCTTCAACAACCCCTTGTTTGCTTATGCGTTCAAGCTCTCCTTCAAGAGGGGCGGTGTCGTGTTCTCCAAGTTCAGGAGCCGCATGGTGGCATGGGGCCTGTTTTCAATAAGGATGTAGATATGTGTCTGTACACCCATGCCTCATCCCCTAAACCCCTTGCATGTACTTCATCTAAATCCCTAGTCGCTTAGGCGTGTGCAGTTACGTAGGGTGTGTCATCTTCACCGCTTTCAGTTGGCCCATATACCCGTACCCCCCCCCCCCATACTGTCAACGGGAGTTGTGTATTGGCCCCGTCCTCGCTTGGGCGGAGCCGACTTCGTGGTCGGGTGTGAGGGGAGCAGCCGACCTGTAGCAGTGGGTGAGCTGGTCGACGAGGAGGTCGACCTGCACGGGGGACCACTGCACGGGCGCCGACTTCAGGGTGGCGCCGACTTCAGGGAGGTCGACTTGGGTGTCGACCTGCGGAGGACGTCAACTTGGTGACGTCAACTTGGGGAAGCCGACTTCGGCAGTCGGCTAACGGACTGCTGGTCGACCTGTTAGTGGTCGACTGGACCTGGTGGTCGACGAAGGAGGGGCCGACGTCGACCTCGACTCAGGACGCCGAGCAGTTGGGCGTCGAGTAGCGGGGCGTCAACTTCGTGACGCCAGCTTCGGGTGGCCGACGTGGGTGGTCGGCCGACGACTGTGCTGGTCGACGAGGAGCAGGTCGACCAGGAGTGCTGGTCGACGTGGAGCTGGTCGACCAGAGGGGATGTCGACCTGGAGGAGGTCGACCGATGGTGTCGTCGACCTGGTGAGGTCGACGTGGAGGTGGTCGTCGACTTGGGAGGTCGACGGGCACGTACGGGAGCTGCTGGTCGACGTGGTTGCCTGGTCGACCAGGTTACCTGGGTGACGAAGTGCTGCGGAGGAGTGCGACGGTCGCCCAGGCGAAGTTGGCGAGCCCGACCTCGGTGGTGGTATCCCGAGGTCGTCGTGGCGGATCAGAGGCAGTCGTCAGCTCGAGGTTGACGTGGTGTGTGCGCTGTGCAGGTGACAAGACTCTACGCGCCAATCATCTGCGCACAACTGCGAAGCAGGGTGCACTGCTGTCCTGCGTGAGCAACGCTGTCACGCCGTCAACCTGCGACGCTGGCACGCCGTCGACCTTGCCTTGCTGGAGCGCGGTCGACGAAGTCGTGCTGGAACGCGGTCGACCAAGCTGCGCTGGCAGTTGGCCGACCTGAATGCTTGCTCTGATGTAGTCTTGCATTGCCAACTTCATTGTACCCCATTGTTCTGAACTTTTCCTAGTGAAACTCTTGCCAATTTTCCCCGTGAACTAGCAAGTAGTGTGCGTACAAGGAAAACGACTAAGGAACAGAGAACGCAGAGATCACACGAGCACACGTGCCTAGCCCGTAGCCTAGCTCCCGTTGCTGCAGTTATCTCCGCATGGTGCGGTGAGCGTGGACGGCACACGACTTACCTTTCAGTCAGGTCGACGTAGACACCACTTACCTATTTCGTAGTTGCAGGCCGGCAACTGTGCTGTAGTCACTATGGTAGGAGCCGTAGGTGACGCGGGGGTGGTGGACACCCTAGAGGCACGGTTGGAGAACGCGAGGAGGAAGCACGAGGCCAATGAGTATGGCGACTTGCCCTGGCCGGTCGTCGAGGCTGGACTCCGCTCCATGTGGGCGACGGAGCACCCGTCTCGACCTGCCTCTCCTCGTCCGGTGAACAACGAAGGCGGCGTCGACGTGGGTGTCAACGCCGGTGGTGGTCAAGTCGGCAGCAGTGCTGGAGGCACGTCGAGGCAACGAGGTGTGATACACGCCGGTGAAGTCGGCGGCGTTCAGGCGCGAGGGATGCAGTCGTCGGCGGCTGCAGGCTCTTCGCTGGGTGACATCGGAGGGCGTCAAAGTGGATTGTCCCCGATGTCGGCGACCCAGGTGACGGCGGGTGGGATTGCACCAAGCTACGGCTACTTCAAGTTTACGCCGGACAGGATCTCGGTCACCCCTCCGCTGGTCGGTCGACCCGACATACTCACCTGGAAGGAAGCCATCGAGCCCCAGCTGGAGATGGCCGGGCTGATCGGCTTCGCCCGAGGGACCGTGGCGACGCCGGAGGAGCACCACCCCGACCTGCGTGCGGAGTTTCGCCCCGTGCAGCTGTTGACCTTCACGGTCATCTCGCGGTGCTGCTCGTCGGGCGTGCAAATCGCCTTGAAGTGGTGCCGGGACTGCCTAGCAGCTATAACCTGCTGAAGCGGCTGTCTATGGCGCCGAGCACGAGGGCGACGCTCAACGAGGACAACCTGACCTCGTACATCCTACAGGACGAGGCGATGCAGGAGGCTGAGCGATCGCAGGAGCTCTTGGCGCAGGCCAACTTCGTCGCTCCGGCAAAGCAAGGAGGCCGACCAGGACAGC